TATGTCAAAGCCCTATTACTGATGACTGTTACGTTTGTTAACTTTCGGTGTGTTGAAGTACCAAAATTTACTACCTTTATTACATGTGTTCGCACTGTATTCGTCTCAAATGGATATGCTACTGCCCTGCATGGCGGAACATTTTGTTTGCCTTTTCTCTTCTTTCTCATTTATTCTTTGTTATCTACTCTGTCAATTTGGCTTTATAAGACCCAATAAAGATACATTGAAATGAAAAAGAAAAAAAAATAGACACAGTGTAACTAGTATTTTTAATGTAACACATGCAATGTTTGCATTAGAGAAAAAAATATTTTCCTAATAGAGTTGGTTTACTAAAGACACATAGAATGCTCAATTTGCAAAGGAAGTTGTACTTTGCAGGGGAATTTTCCCCAGAGCTTAGTGAATGAGGTGAAGCTCTATTGACTTCCATAATTCAATCATGTGCATGCAAAAATGTTTTTTTTTTAAATTAATTTTGCTATCGAGTGATTGGGTGTTCTTTGGAAAGTGAAATTTCACCACATTCACTAAGTTCTGGGAAGGTGCCCATGCAAAGTACAACTCCCCATGCAAAATGCAGCTTCCCTTGCAAAATGAATGGCCTATTTGCCTTTAGTAAGCCAACACCAATGTGTATTTACAAACATTTTAGTATTTCTGCTGTTCTTTACCCTTTTGTGGATTTTATTTGATCATTTCATTTCATATAATCACTCATTTCCCTAACCTTTGGAATGAATTAGTATTTAGAACTGGGTGTGAAATCATGCAGAGACTATATTACACTGAGAAATACATGAGACAGCAGAAATGAGGTGATTTATTCATTAAGGTAACTATTTATGCCTGTTCTTGTAAATGGACTCCAAATGGAGCTGACAAAGCAATGAAACAAATTCTCTGTCATTGGGGAAATAATTTTACATTACCCTAAGAAATTGCAAAGAATTACTTATAGTTCTCTATCAAAAGTGCACAGTAATACTTAAAGTGGAACTATAGGTGTAATAAAAAATTGCATATTTGATGCAGTCTGTAAATATAAGTAACACATCAGTTTTTGTTTTTCTCAGTACCCCCATAACATAGTTTTATTATCTTTTTTGATACTGCCAGTAAACCTGGCTACACATCTTAAAAAATCTGAAGAAAAATTTCATATGATGAACAATCTGTCGATGATCTGTTCATTAGTATCATGCTTTCGACAGCCCATTGCGGCTGTTGGGACAAAAAAAAAACCTTAAGGTACAAGCTAGAAATGTTTTATCGTATGTGAATACATCGTCCGATTTTCGCTCAATGTGTACAGAAATCTTACAGAAATAATATAATAGAAAAAAATGTGCATGATCAGAAGCAAAGAATGACTCAGAAGAAGAAGGCAACAAACATAGATATTGTACACAAGAATGTTTGCCTTTGTCGTTCATACAAGTTATTACTAATATTTTGATGTACCAAACATTTGTAACCTTGCTTTATGTTTGCCTGGCCACTAGGTGGAAACTGTGCTTGTTGCTCTTGTTAGTATTTTTTTCTTTCATGCAAGGAAACTGAAAGCAATCCAGTGGAAGCTTTCAAAGACACCAACTGTACATTTTTTCTGAATGGTGCACTATTAAGCCATATCTCATTGCAAGCTAGGAGGTACCTTAAAAATGTCATAGGATCTAGGATCAATGATTATAATCTCAGGAACCCATTGTAATACATTAGTCCTCTTACCACACTTCTGTGACTTACCTTTTTTGTCCCCAAACAACACAAATAATCACATGTAAGCTTACATTTTACAGACATGACTTATGCACACAGGTAAGGAAATGTCCTCTAAACCCTGGTAAGACTGTCAAACCAGCAGATTTCAGCTAGTCTTCTTGTGTCATCAGTGCAAGAAAACTCTCCATAAAAACTTTAAAAAGGATCCACCCCGATCATGGGGTGCTGTAAATCTCAAGAGTGAATTAATCCTTCCTAAATCCAAAAAAGGAAAAACTTGTGGAATTAAAAAAAAAAAAAGACATGCAGCGTTAACAATACCCATACATTGCACCCTATTGCAATATATCGTTTTTTGCTTAACTTAGCTAAATATTCCCTTTTAATCATATTTAAAAAAAAGAATATGAATCCACAAGATGCAGGGCCCATGGCTGATTTTTGCACCCTGCAGGAAATCCTGTAAACGTAACTAATGATGAGAGAGTGAAAACTGAACTGTTGATACTTTTGAAAAGCCCACTGTCCTGACAGTATGATGAAAATGTCTTTAGAGTTAATCATTTCCCCATAACTAAAATTACAATGGTAGTGAAGAATAAAAAAAAAAAGGATAAAGAATTGAATTTGGATAGTTTTTGCAACTTTTTAACAAATTGGTGAATGAAGAAGGCAATTTCACTTTCATAAGCTTTTTAACCTTCAGTTCATGCCTAATAATAATAGTAATAATAATATTAAACACAATAATTGAGTTACAAAAAATGAAATTATGTATCTGGAATCAAATCAACATGAAAGCATTGTCATGGTCTGTTAGGCAAAATCAGTACATTCATCGCATGATTTTTGGTTCAGAAAGTATGTAAAAAAGTAGGAATATTTTCCAGTAAATAAACAATTTCCCATTAAAGATGTCAGAATATAATTCAAGTTCTGTTTGTGTTGTATATTGTAATCAAAAGAAAACATGTCTACACCTATGAAAATTAATCCTAAATCAATCTAAGCACGTTTGTTCAATAACGCAATCAATGACACACTTCGTCAACCAGTGAAGTTGAAATTAAGACATTCAAAATGCAAGGCAGTATAATGTAGATGAAGTGTAAATATCCTTGAGTTCCCTTTGACAAGGTCACAACATAGTTTCAGGGTTTACAAGACCTTTCATCACTGTCCTACACAGTTAGCTTAATGTTCATGCACTAAACAGCTGTCTGCTAAATAACGCTACTTTTCAGTTCACTTATATCTTTTTGTCACAGTATTGGATTATTCCTTTTGAATATTTGAGAACTAGAACAAAAAAACAGATAAAATAATATGAAAATATTATGAAAAACAGCAGTCTACAACACAATGCTATACAGAAACCGCAAGGAGTTAACTTTAAACAAGGCTTTATTATTCAATATACATAATACACTATGAGCAAAGTAATATTCTTTAATGATGATTATGACAAATTAGCTAATATTTAAGTATTTTATAAAAAATATCTTAAAATATTTTACTAAATGTATTGTTAATGTGACTTGATGTGTTATCCATAATAATATACTATTTGAGGTAATTATATATGATTTATACATTATAATGATCATAATGACATAACAATTAGATACTAATTATTTCATTTATGTTGTCATTTTTTTATGTGTTTCTTATAATATCTCTAATACCAACATTACTATTTACTGGAAATATGTCTGGAACAGTTACATTGCCTTGATTTCTTATGCTTGACTCTTTAAGTAGAAGCATGTTGTGAGAAAATAGATAATTGATTATATTTATATATATATCTTCACCCTACTTCAATACTCCACCTTCATGACTTAAGCAACCCATACATGAGGCTGTCTTTTGCATTCAGCCATCGGATTGAATGAAAAAAACTGACTCAGTTCCTCCATTTGCACATTTGAGGTGGATGGGAGAATGCTCCTAATGTGCCTTTGCATTCTGACAGTGGGAAGACTTCCCCACTATCAGAATACACTTATAAGTATTGCAGGCTAAAGTCCACAGCACTGATCAAGCAGGGAAAATCCAACAGGGCAGTTGTACAGAATTTGATTAGGAGATCAATTTCTGTAGAAACTCCCTACCGATACATGGATTGAAATTTGTCCGCTCCCTGTTGAACTGGCAAAATTTTCCATCCATGTATGGCCAACTTAAAGCAGATGAGCATATTGGATGAAAAATACAGTTTTCGGAGCAATCGTCTGATAATCTCATCGTTAGTATGCGACTTTCGAGAGCCAATCACAAGAGTTCATGCAAAATTAGCAGAAGGGACAAGCATGAAAATTTTTGTCGTACGATAACAGAACGAAGGATTTTTGTTTATTCAGTACAATATTTGTCTGTAAAAAAATCGAGTGACCAAGACCGCGCATGCTCGGAAACAAAAGAATACATTACAGTACATTACATTGTCATCAAAGTTGTATTCTGTCTTATAAAGAATTTTCGGAACTCTACTAACCTACCGTATTTTTCGCTTCATAAGACGTACTTTTTTCCCCCCAAAAAGGGGGGGGAAATGCCAGTACGTCTTATGGAGCAAATATGGAGCAGCCGGTCCGGTATTTCCATCGCCGCCGTTGTGTCAGAATACCGGGCCGGCCGCTCGGCTCTTCTCTGCAGCAGGACCTTACCTGTTCCTCGGTCCAGCGCTGTACAGTCTTCCGGCGCCGGCATCTTTAGTGTGGGCACCCGGCTGTGACAGCAGGGTGCCCACTGCGCATGCACGAGAAGTGTTGCACTTTGTGAATGGTCCGGTGTCTTCTGGGACACATGAAAGGTCCCAGAAGATGCTGGACCATTCACAAAGTGGAGTGCTTCTCACGCATGCGCAATGGGCAACCGGCTGTCACAGCCGGGTGCCCACACTAAAGGGAGAACAAATCTGCGGAATTGGGAGCAGGTACCTGTCAAATTCAGGTACCTGCTTCCCCTCTCTCCCCCTAAGGTCTGCAGTCTCTTGGTCATCCCCTGTACTGTCTGCTGTCTCTTGGTCATCCACTGTACTGTCTGAAGTCTCTTGGTCATCCCCTGTACTGTCTGCAATCTCTGGTCATCTCCTGAACTGTCTGCAGTCTCTGGTCATCTGCTGTACTGTACCTGCAGCCTCTGGTCATCTCCTGTACTGTCTGCAGTATTTGGTCATCCCCTGTACTGTCTGCAGTCTCTGGTCATTCGCTATACTGTCTTCAGTCTCTGGTCATCCCTTATACTATGTCCGCAGTTTCTGACCATCCCCTGTTCTGTGTCCGCAGTCTCTGGTCATCCCCTGTACTATGTCCGCAGTCTCTGGCCATCTCCTGTACTATGTCCGCAGTCTCTGGTCATCTCCTGTACTATGTGTGCAGTCTCTGGTCATCCCCTGTACTATGTCCGCAGTCTCTGGTCATCTCCTGTACTGTGTCCGCAGTCTCTGGCCATCTCTTGCACTATATCCGCAGTCTCTGGTCATCTCCTGTACTGTGTCCACAGTCTCTGGTCATCTCCTGTACTATGTCCGCAGTCTCTGGTCATCTCCTGTACTGTGTCAGCAGTCTCTGTTCATCTCCTGTACTATGTCCGCAGTCTCTGGTCATCCACTGTACTATGTCCGCAGTCTCTGGTCATCTCCTGTACTGTGTCTGCAGTCTCTGGTCATCTCCTGTACTGTGTCCACAGTCTCTGGTCTTTTCCTCTACTATGCCTGCAGTCCATTGGTTCAGAATATTTTTTTTCTTGTTTTCCGCCTCTAAAACCTAGGCGCGTCTTATAGTCAGGTGCGTCTTATGGAGCGAAAAATAAGGCATTGATTTTTGAGACTAGCATGCAAAAAAAAATGACCCATCATTTGTTGGATATTCTGATTGTGTGTACCAGGCTTAAGGCCCTGTTGGGGTGAAAGGTGTTGAATTAGTAGGGGTGTGATGATGAGTGCTGCGCTTCAGTTGGGTTTTGGCTTTGCAAACTTCTTCATGTGGCAATGCAACTTTCTGATACAAAGAAAGATAGCAAGTGGATGTGCACCTTTCTCTGTTTTTGAAATGCTTGTTTTTGGACAGCTGTTACAAAGAAAAAAAGCCTATTTCCAGCCTGACTTATATGACTGGTTGGGGTTGTAGCAAAACATTGCAGATCTGCTAAGTTATGTATTTCTCTTAAGTAAGATAAGATTTTGGGTCTAGCCATGGGAAAGGAAACTCTCACCCAGTCTTGAATCACAAGCCTCATTATTTCAAGACTGGATACCCTATATGGAGAAAAGTTGTGGGCATCTCTCCAATAATTAAGGTCAGTTCTTTCTAGTAAAATGAACTTGGTACAGCAAACATTACAAAAACAAGGTACTGTTAATGCTACAGTATACAGTACAAAGAATTTTTGGAGATCCAAAGGAAACAGCAAAGCTCCAGACACTAAACAGTCCTCCGTGGTAGTTCTGGGTGCCAGCCAGAGTGCCTGTCCATGCTCCTAGTACCATGACTGCAATAGATAGAAGGCCTCCCACCAATGAGGTGTGTTTCGCCACAATGGGCTTAGTCGTAGTCTGTATTCAGAGGTCAATAAAGACATGGTTTGACAAGTTTGGTGTAGAGGAACTCAAGAGGCCTGTATTCAAGTGGCCTGCACATAGACCTAGCCTCAAACTTACTGAACAACTTTGGGATGAATTAAAAAAAAAATAACAATTGTAAGCCAGGTTTAAACATCAGTACCTGACCTCACAAATTCCTTTTTAGCTGAATGGGCACAAATTCCCCCAGACACACAGATATTAACACAGATGTTACAATCAAGAGCATAAAATAATGGTATTATATTGGAGAGAGAAAGAGAGAGGAATGTCACGTGTAAACTGATTTTATTTGATTTTTTCTTTCTATACATATAGTATATGAAATCTTTTATTTGTGATAAACAATTGCTGTTACAACAATTTTCTTAGCAAGCATGATTGGCTTCCAGATTACAAAGCCCTTAACTAGTTCTGCACTAGTTGTTTGTTTTGTTCTAATTAAAAATCAATAAGGTGCTTTATAAGAAAGCAGAGGGTCAGGGGATGTCCTCCTCTATTGTATTCATCTATGTTCCGGAGCTTGATAAATAGTTTGATATCAAATGAAATCAGCTTATTCAGACTATTCACAGCTCAAAAGTAAGACACTTTAGAATATCTCTAGTGATTCACTCTAGAACTCTGCCTACTGGAAGCAAGTGATAAACATGAAAAGTCATATACAATATTTTATATTTACTTGATGAATAAATATAATTTTTAAGCCATTAGAATAAAAGGTAAATAAAGAAAATATGCTCAAAAGCACTACAGATTTTCTTTAAGCATGACTGCCATTGAATGTTTAAACTTTCAAGGACTTTGTACTATTTTGATATCTGCAGATATGTGCATTTTTCTACCTGACCTGAGTGAAGTGAATCATGAAATATGGTGTGTTTATAGAATTTCCTGTCAAAAAGAAGTATGGGTATGCAATATATTTGAAAGGACAGATTTCAACAATGTTCGCTATTGTAAAATAAATCCATAAAGCCCTAGGCAAAGTTTTGTTCAGGATTAAAGAGACAGATATTCAACATGATTGGAAACATATTGATCAGACTCTAAAGTTAAATAGTTCCTACAGTTGCAACAGTGAGCTGTATGTGCAATTGTAGTTCCACAAGTTTTATAGCATACATCAAACAAGCTCCACACACCACTGACCGTATATTTTATATATATATATATATATATATATATATAATATATATATATATATATATATATATCACTTTAAATGACAATGACAATTGGGCAGTCATGCAACGCTGTACACAAGCTACATTTTTATAATTTTGTTCTCACAACTAGAGCTTTCTTTTGGTGGTATTTAATCACCACTGTTTTTTTATTTTTTGCTAAATAAATGAAAAAAAGCCAAAAAATGTAAAAAAAATAATGTTTTTCTTCATTTCGTTAAATAATTATTCTTCATAAATTTAGGCCAAGATGTATTCTGCTACATTTCTTTGGTGAAAATAGCCAAAATCAGTGTTTATTATTTAGTCTGTAGGAAAGTTATAGAGTCCACAAAGTATGGTATACATCTGAAAATCGCTCAATCCTGATGTACTGATGGCTGATCTAACTTCTTGAGGTCCAAAAATGTCAGGACAGTACAGATATCCACCCAAATGACCCATTTTTGGAATGTAGACAGTCTGAGGTATTTAGTAAGAGGCAAACTTTTTGAAGTTGCAATTTTTTCTCATAATTTTTGGGAAAATGAAGAAATTTTAAAACTTTTTTTTCACTTTTTTTTTCTTACAAACTGTCACCAGTGCAGAAGTTTCATCATATAAACTGATCAGGGATGCTTATTGGTGATAGTACATTAATAATAATTTTTTCAAACTTTTTTAACTTTTATTATTTATTACTTTTTTCCTTTTTTTCACAATTTTTTTTATAACACACCGTGACCAGAATAGTATAATGTTACCATAGTAACATTGTACTACTCTGGGGAAGTGATCAGTACTTTTTTTTCATTACACATTACGATTGCTTCTACCAAAGAATTTCATTGCTATAAGCAAGCATTTACCTGAATGAAATCGATTCATTCAGGTTTTTTGTATGTGATTAGCTGTGATTGGCCAGATGACACATATGGGCTATGATTGGCGCAGTCTGAACCATGTGATCACTGTGACCAATCACAGCTAGCAACACAATTGTATACAATGAATGGCATGCATTGTTTACAAATGTCATGTGACTTGCTGTGATTGGTCACAGAGGTCACATGGTTATGGCAATGGGCCAGTACACCGATTTGCCATCAGCTGTGTCTGATGGACACAGCCGGTGACAGATCTCGCCACAGCACAGCCCCGTGGGTGTGTGTGAGGCACGATCCAGAAGGACATCATATGACACCCACCCGGATCAAGGAAATTCCCTCTCAGCCGTCATTTTGCTATTGGCTAGGCGGGAATTGGTTACATTAATTACCAACTTGTGGGATATGCAAAAATCCACTAAGTGCACAGTAGAACATTGGTTTTGGACATTCCCTGGCCTTAGGGATATTAGGGTACACATATACAGTATATATACAATATATAAATTAGTATTGATTAAATATATATCATTTAAAGTTGTTTAAAAGTGGAACTACACTTTTGTTTGGGATAAAAACAATCACCCTGCATTATTTACATATACTGTAAGGATTTTACCAAACTTTGTAGCAGAGTCTACCTTTTTCTGTTCTGAAGAAAAAAATCTGTGTGTTCCACTATATCAATACAAGTCTGATTCCTGAATGGAAAGGTCAGTTTAATTATAACCATCTGTTTTGATAAGGAAAGTTGCTCTTTAGAAGTAATCTCACAAAAAATGTAATTTCTATTGCAGATGTCTGAGAAAATCAGTGACCCAATCACAAAAACAGGAAATTATATTTCTGGGGCATTTTGTACACCAAATGTTCACCAGGATGTATAAACCATAAATAGCACAGAGCAAACACACTTCACTGGGCAAAACACCTGTAAGTTTGCACACATATACAGTACACACATACATATAGGACCCACACAGAGCACAATCTTCTATGTTTCTATGCTGTTCATGATCCCAATGAGAGATTTACCCCTTGACCTATATGGTTACCAGGAGAGGAAGCAAGGAAATATCTCTCCAACTGATGGCACATACAGCACTATAAATCTGAAAAGCTAACCTTTCTCTACTTTATGCAAACCAAAAATAAGGTTTAAAATTTACTATACTCTATCTCCTTTTGTAGCATACAATTTGAAAGCTGTGTTTGTTCACAAGCTTTCTGAAATTATATTTAGAAATCAGTGAATCTGCCCATAATAGTTTAGTGAGGGTTCGTTGACTCCTGCCTAAAATTTGTAAAACCCATACTTAGCAGCAATCCCCATTGAAGTCTATGAAGCAAATCCTGCTTTTAAAGTGGTAGTAAACAATCCCCTGCAAGGTATGCATCGCAGACTAACACATTATTATTACTATTATTATACAGGATTTATATAGTACCAACAGTTTGCGCAGCGCTTTACAAAATGATGAAGGACCTACCTTAAAATGAAGCACTGCAGTGGCGTGCCGTCACCACTGCAGAGGCTTCCATCTTCACCTGGTCTTCCTTCCTGGTTTGTGAGCTCCAGCCGTCTGACTGGCCTAGTCACGATGACATCACTCTCATGCATATGCGTGGGAGCTCTGGGCCATGGCACAATACTCTGAAGAAAGGCACGGGTATGCTGTTCTTTCAGAGCGCATGTGCCGGCTCTCAACAATAGGGAATATCTCCTAAACGTGCACATTTAGGAGATATTCATTTTACCTACAGGTAAGCTTTATTATGTAAACATTCCCCAAAAATGTAAGCTATAGACTTCCGGTATGTATTTGAAATAAATTGGCTGGTGTTAGGACAATACATGAGCACTTAAGCAGGCAGCAAATAGAAAGAGATGAGGCAAGGTATATCTTGAAGTGAACATTAGAGTGTATTATTTGAGAGACAATAGCCATAAATATGTAACAGTGGCATGACAAAACATATATATACCAATTTAATATAGGACAGCTTCCTGCTTTCAATTGTTGCTTAGGAAGTACCCTCTGCAT